GCTGGGGTATCCTCCCCGAGCCGAACGCTACCACCAAAGTGTCCTCCCCGAGCCGACCTCGATCTATACCTCGGTCCGATCGTGCCTTGGGGGCCCGGCCCGGGTAACGGGCGCTGGCCAGGGGAGGGGCAACAAAAACGCCCACCAAGGCGGGGCGAGGAGGAGGAGTCCGGCGCCCAGGGTCGGTTTCCCCAAGGCCGCCCGTGCATTGCGCGCGCCCAGCCAACGAACTACCGCCCGGAGAGCAGCAACAGCTGCGCAGGAAGGGCACAAAGGGGTGGCCACGTCGCCTGTGAAGACTCGCGGCCCAGCGGTTCCGACATGGTGCGTTGGGAGCCAAAGGCATCCCAGTCGGAACAGCTGGCACGGCATACCTAGGAGCACAAGCTCCCCAGCCCTGGGTGGGCACAAGGTCCCTTGGACTAACGTGGCACAAGCCACCGCCCCCCGAGGAAATGCCGATCCCTGAAGGTCAGATCACAATGGGATGACCGCACAGGCGCCGCCGCCCGCCTTCACCCGCAAAGTAGAAATAAGAAAAAAAACGCAACAAGAAAATAATAGTAAAAAAACAAATGAAAGGGCCAAATACAACCAAGCAAAAAAACAAACAACAAAAACAAAAATGAACCACAAAACAAAAAATACCAAAAAAAAGGGGAAAAAGGAAGCGGCCACAATAACAAAAACAACAAAAAACACAACACAAAAAACCAACACAAGCCAATCCAAAAAGCTCAAACAAAACCGGGCCGGCCAATAAAATATAGACAAATAAAAAGCCCGAACAAAAACAAAACACACGACAGGCCAACATAACTAAGAAAAAAAAAAAAAAGACAAAACTTAATTAATGGCTGAGACTGGAGCTGTGCTACACCCAACGACGGGAGACCCGTCGATATAGGTTTCGCAACGTCCACCCCAAGCCCCAAGCCCCAAAGCCCGCAGTTCCAGAATAATCGGCCGGTTGCACCCCGCCCAACCTGCAAATTAAGTGCCGTGTACAGTGTGCCCCGAGGGTGCTCGGCACTGACACCATGAAAACAGGTGCCAGGCCTCACCCTGGGGGCGGGGAGGAGGAGGAGGAGGAGGAGGAGGAGGAGGAGGAGGAGGACGACGACGAAGAGGACGAGAGCATGAGAAGGAGGAGGAGGAAGAGGAGAGGAGGAGGAGAGAAGGAGGAAGGAGACAGAAGGAGGAGGAGAAGTGAGGAGGAGCAGGGGGAGGAGGCTGGGCAGGAGGCTGGCAGGATATCGCGGGGGCCGGAGGAGGGAGGAGCAGTGAGGGGAGAGAGAGAGAGAGAGGGACAAAAAAAAAAAATCGAGAGAGAGAGAGAGAGGGAGAGGAGGGAGAGAGAGGAGAAGATACAGAAAGAGGAGAGAGAGATAGAGAGAAAGAGAGATACATATATATATATAAAGAGAGAGAGGGGGGTGAGAGAGAGAGAGAGAGAGAGAGAGAGAGAGAGAGAGAGAGAAAAAGAGAGAGAGAGAGAGAGAGCAGGCACCAGGAGCGGCGGCGGCAGGACCAGCGGGAGGAGCGGGGCAAGATGGGGGGCAGCGTGCGAGCACGAGGCGCAGGGCAGGGAGAGGAGCAAGGTGACTAGGAGCAGGACGACATCGGCGCGGCGAGCGACGGGGGTGGAAGTGAAACGGAGAATGCCCTCTCAGAATGCGGCGGGGCTTCTCAGAAGGCCGCCAGCCTTCTGAGAAATCTACTGTGTCTTCGGACTTCCGAGCCTTGCCCGCCCATTCTCACTTCCCCCCTGGGATTGCCGCCGACTAGTCAACCCGTGTAAAAAGGACGCACGGCAAGGATGCAAGGGCCTTGGAAGGCCATGCCGACACTTTGCGAGCGGGGCGCGGCCAGCTAAAGCGGCCAAGGATGGGAAGAAGGGGCAAGGGTAATTAGCTAACCCTGGAAAATCGCTCATCCTTATTCTCATCATTATTATTGCTATTATTGCTAGTATTATTATTGTTATTATTATGCAGGTCCACCGTAGTGAAGCACCAATCACCATGAGCAGCACCCGTGAGTGATTTTGTTTTCCATGGGGGAGGGGACGCCCGCACCATCTCTCGAGCAACCCGTGCTCTCTCTGGCGTTGCGCGGCGGAGACTGACCGGTGGCTCAAATCACAGCAGCCACCCGGAAGCAAAGAACCGCCCGTTGGTGAATGATGGAGCATGCTCTGTCTGCACTCCACCACGCCAACGCACACACGCGCACACTGTGGCCCACTCCCGCGCGTTCCACGCTGAGGAGGCCGAGCAACAACCAGCAGCTCGGGAGCGGCCAAGAGGGGGGTGTCCAAGAGGGGGGGTGCAAATCATGACTGGTGGCATGTGCGCGGGACGTCATGAAATAAGAAGGGGCGCCATGAGATCTGGGGAGATATCATGGCCCTCGCCATGATATCCACCCCCCCCTAGTCATCACCCCCCTCTTTTCCGCCCCCGAGCAGCGGCCCCGTGGGCTCCCCGCGGCGCCGGGCCTGGTTGAGCTGCTGGGTCACCCGCACGAACGTCGTGCGCTTCGACAGCTCGCGGAGCTCCGAGGCGCCCACGTACCTGGCCTCGCCCTCGCCCCTGTCGCCCCCGCCGTGGCCGCCGTGGCCGTTAAAGGGGCCCCAGGACACACAAATAAACACACACAAATAAAATGATTCCCCATATTTTCCGATATTTTCGGGGTTTCTGTCTTCCGCCCCACTTCCCATATTTTCCCATATTTTCTGGGGAATCGAGGATTAATTGTGTCTGTGTGTTTTTTCCCTCCTGACCGTTGCCGTGGCCGTCGCCTAAGACGAAGCCAGGGCGCGGACAGAGTCGCGCCGGGCCAAGTCGGGGACCTCGGCGAGATCCGGCGGCTCAGGAGGAGGAGGAGGGGCTGGGCGCCACAGCCGTTCCAGAGTGCTCCGGGGAATGCTCCGAGAGCCATGCCGGTCCTGGCCCCGCCCGAAGATCAGTAGAAATCGAGTCGGAATATCGGATCGAATCGGGACGTGTGCTTTTGGGCACCCAAAATGGGTACGGGGAAAACTGGTACAATGCCCAACCACAAATGTTGTCCCAAGCCAACTGCGGCCGCTGTTGGGCAGGAGGCCTTCTGTCTCGAATGGACACAGGTCGCGGCGGCACCGACAGTGAGTCCTTTCAAAATGAACAGGAACTGCTGTCGGTCTTTGTACCCATTCTTTCCGTACCCATTTCGAGCGTCCCGAATGCTGGATCGGGACGCATCGGCGCGGGGCTGCAGTCGGGTCAGACTGGCCGCGCCAGGGTGCACAAATGCACCGCAACGCGATGCGAACACTGGGCCGCCTCGGATCGAGTACAGGCGACCCGTATCAGAAGGATGCGCGATGAGGATGCAAGGGCCTTGGACGCCCGTTTCGAAGCTTTTTTTCGAGCGGGGCGCGGCCAACGAAAGCGGCCAAGGATGGACCGAGGAGGCAAGGATGCAAGGGTACCCTCGGGTTAAGTTGCTCCCATCGAAGTTAAGGACCACATCTCAGAAACGTAGCACCCTGCAGTTGCGGATAAGAGTGAGGGGGCGGCGGGGATGTCTGCAGTCTGCGAGGCTTTGAAGAAGCCCGCTGCAGGCGCAACATTTCTCAAACTATACGACGAGCCCGCCGCAGGCGCCGATTTTCTTGTTCAGACAATGCAAGTGGGTCGCGGGTTGGGTCGCAAATGGGTCGCGGGTGGGTCGCGAGGTGGGTCGCGGGTGAGTCGCAGGCCGGGTCGCGGGTGGGTCGCGGGTGGGTCAAGGGTGGGTCGCGGGTGGGTCGCGGGTGGGTCGCGAGGGGGTCGCGGGGTGGACCGCGGGTGGGTCGCAGTTGGGTCGCGTATTGGGTCGCGGGTGGGTCGCGAGGTGGGTCGCGGGTGGGTCGCGGGCTGGGTCGCGGGTGGGTCGCGGGTGGGTCGAGGGTGGGTCGCGGGTGGATCGCGGGTGGGTCCCGAGTGGGTCGCGGGGTGGATCGCGGGGTGGGTCGCGGGGTGGGTCGCGGGTGGGTCGCGGGGTGGGTCGCGGGTGGATCGCGAGGTGGGTCGCGGGTGGGTCGCGGGTGGGTCGCGGGGGGGACGACGACAACAACAGCAACAACAACAAGCATAATCCTCACCCAAGGACAATGAATGACCGTTCGGCCCCCTCACTCTGATAATTTCGAGCACCCGGGAAAGTGTCGAAAGAGTGTCGACACGGTGTCGGACGCGTGTCCCAAAGGGCCCGACACGCGAAAACCATAGAGTTTGTTGGGCACTTGTTCTGTGGTGCTCGAAATTCTTCCCGGTGATCAAGGCCAGAATGGGTTGGAACATCACAACCCTCGGGAAGGTTGCCCATGGCTGGACGGAGCCGATACATCGAATCGGATCGAAGGGCACCGTGCGCGGTCCTCGTCCTCGTCCTCGCCCCTCCCCAGGGCCGGCCCCCTCTCCTCCGCCCCCCCCCTCCTGCTCCCCCTGCTCCCCAGCCCCCCCCCTCCCCCTCTCCCCCTGGCTTTCACCTCTCGCGCCCCGAGAAGCATCGGCGGCGCGCCTTTGGGGCGCAGTGCGGGTGGGGCAGGCCTTCCCGGCAGGCGGCGGGGCCGCTCAGAAAGGTCCGCTGGCCTGCCGAGCAAAAGCCCAAAAGAACAGAAAAACAAAAGAAGGCACAAAACCACAACAAATAAAGACCAAATAAGAAACAAAAACCAAAACCAACAAAAAAAAACAAAGCAAATCTAAAGAACATGACAAAATCAAAAAAAAACAAAAAACATAACACTAAATAAAAAGAATTAATGAAAGAAAATAATAACAAAAAAAAAAACAAACAAATCATATAAAAAAAAAAAAAACCAAAAAAAAGCACATCATAAAAAAAATATTTTACAAATAAAAAAAAAAAGACAAAAAAGAAACAAACAAATACTCAACAAAAATAGCCGCCCCGCCTGCGCAGCAGGCCTGGTCCAGCTCCTCCGAGAGGCCGGAAGCCCTCCGAGCCTCCCGGGAAGACCCGCCCCCTCGGCATCCCCCCTCGGCCTCGCCGCCGAAGGGATAATTAGGATGGGGTGCCGCCTGCCCCTCGACGCGGCGCCCAAAGGCTCGGGGGCGCCACCTGCCCCCCCCCGGGGATTGAGCAGTGGCGAGGCACCCTGGCGCGCCTGAAGAGTCCCACAAGATCATGTGCGAAGAGCTGTGTGTGGGTTCGACGGGAGGTTCTCAGCACAGTTCTCGCTGGGGCTGCCCTCCTTTCGCACCTCGGGCATGTGCTCTAAGGACATTGCCTCTGTTCTTGGAACATTGCTGGGCTCTGGGGACATGTCGTGGTAGGCCTGTAGGGGTGCTGGGATGGCCGGTCCCTGCTCACTGGGAGCGCGCACCCCCGCCGTGCCCTTGACCGTGCGCTGCGGCGGGGGGCGACGACGACCGACAACGGACGACGACCGGCGACGACGACAACGACGGCGACGACGACAACGATGGCGACGACGACGATGACGGCGGCGACTGGACTTAGGTCGTGCATGTCATACAGGCGGATTTTGGACGAAAAGTGGTCACTACGCAAACAATGCTCAAACATGGTCGAGAATGGTCGAACAGATCGCCCCATATGTTTTAAAACTATTTCTGAATATTCCTCCTGTAGAGGGAACCACGCCCGACATCACGCCGTCGCAGTCGCCAACGCTCACTGGTGGCCGCCGAGGACGGCGACGGGGCGCCGGCGCTACAATGATGGAGCCGGCCGCGTACGGGTGCGGGGCACAGTGCACGTTCGAGCCGGATGCCGCGAGCACGTCGCGCACGGGTCCGTCGGGGCCCCCGGTAGGGGACCTGGGGGTGCGGATGGGGAGGAGGGGAAGGAGAAAGGTGTAGGGAGGAGGAAGGAGGAGGAAGAGAGGAGGAGGAGAGTAGGAAGGAGGAGGAGAAGGAGGAGGAGGAGGAGGAGGAGGGGGAAGGAGGGAGAGGAGGAGAGGAGGAGGAGGATTAGGAGGAGAGGGAGGAGGAGGAGGAGGGGGCGCGGGCCTCTGAGACCCTGCGCCTTTCCGAAGGCGGGGGCCTGGGGTGGGGGGGGGGGTGGCGGGGGTGGGGAGGTGGGGGAGTGGCGACGACAAGTTCGAGGTCATCGGGCACTTTCGTCGGTCCTCTGCTGTTTTCCAACCTGAGGATGCTTTCCAACGGCCGCGCCTCGCCGAGAGCGTTCAAGGGGTGCCCAGATCGTCCTGAACGGCTGCCGGAGACCCGAGCTAGGACCCGAAAGCCAAGGAGGAAGGAGGAAAAAGGGAGAGGGCTACGGTCAGGCAACATGCCGCGTGCTGATGCAACACTCCCGGGCAAGGCCTCACAAGCACCTCGGAGGCGCGTCCCCACGTGTGGTCCTTCTCGGCAAGCCCTGGACAGATGCTTGCGCGCTTGCTGCACGAAGAGCCAGAAGAGTCGCAAGCTTTTTTTTCGCGTAAGGAGGGGGGGGAGGAGAGAAAGAGGGGGCAGCGGGGATCAGGGCGAGGACAACGAGGCGGACGAGGCTGAGGAGAGGAAACATGCTGAGAAGGATGCGGATGAGGATGGAGATGGTGAGGACGGTGATGAACATGATAGTAATGACTACTTGTTGATAATGAATGATGTAACTGTTGCTGAAGACAATGTCCAATGAGTGCCACTAGCGGGCCAAGAACCCGCGCACGAGTATCTGCCTGTGCGAGTGAAGTGAGGAAGAGAAGCAAAATCAACAGCTAAACTCAATACTGATTGTCCCGAGCTCTGCCAGCCCCCTCGGCTGGGCCATCTGGTGGCTCGGGACACCGGCAGCGGCTGGCCAGATCCTGGACATCATCGGGAACCTCCGGCGCGAGACAGCAATTCAAGTCGGTGCATGCAAAAGCCCCGCAGACGTCTGGTCGTCACGCCTACACCTGTTGCAGTGATTGAGCACGGACTGCCAAAGGCGCACTCGTTACCCTAGCATGGTCCGACTCTCTCACTCATTTTTGACAGCGCAGTATTGGTGGGGAGAAGCGGGAGCGGACACTGCATCACGATGACAACCCTGACGATTCAGGCGAGAAGCCAAGAAGCCACCTCACATAACGTGCCCTCGAGAATCATTGAAACGTCAAACCACAAATAATAGCAATCCTGCGAGCGATGGCTGTACCAACGGACGCTTTGCGGCAACAAACCCTCTCTCATTCATGCTAAGGAATGGCAAGGACCTGTTTTCCGGGAACCCGCCGTGCGAGTTCAGCTCCAGCCAAGGCAAAGCAACCAGGAAGCGCCCCCACCCCAACTACAACCCGCCCATCCCACACACACACACGCACACAAGCACGCCCGCCCACAAGAGCAACCGCCTGCAGGTCCAACTGCGGTCAATAGGCCAAACCCGAGGACCCCCAACACACTGACCTGGGATGGCAACTGTGGCAAACTTATCGAGGCCCGGGATCAGGGGTCGATCAAGCTTCTGCTGCTGGTTTCTCACCCATCACCTACA